TCTGTCATCTTCAAATACCTCAGGAATAATAATAATAATAATATAGATAATAGCTTTATTCCGTACAAAAGCCTTCCGCAATATGTAGGAGTTTCAATGTGGTTTATTGCATCAGATTTTCTCTTCATCCAGGATCTTTAAGTAAAATAGGAACCCAATGGTATATTATGTGACGCAGTACTGTTCTTTCGTTGCCAAGAAATGCACAGAATTAGGTTGAAAGCCAATTAAAATTATGCCTGAATACATTTGATAACCCATGGACGTAACTGAATGGTCAAAATAAAACAAAATAGACAAACTGTCGTGTACTGTATGAGATGTGAATTCAAATATGTCACTGATTCAAGCAGGTCGTGGTCTATAATCAACTATAAGGTTGGAAGACAAACATGAAGACGTTTGATGCTAGGACATAATTGGCGTCATTCAACACTGATGTTAGAGTATGGCGTCTAAAAACTGTGTAGTATTTCATCTAGCTTGTCATCGACTATGCGTTAGTAGACAATCATTTTAAATTTCTCTGGGAACCAGGTTCTTGCTTCACTCTCAGTTAGCATCCTTTTATCGCATCATTATTCCCATACTGTCTGACAAAGTACTGTAGATATCTGATCATCGATCAAAGGACGTGTGTACTGAGCACCAGTTCGCCCCATTCTCCCTTATGGCTGAGACACAGTCATTGAAAGTGGAAAACATGAAAAGGGTTAGTTGTCTTTGATCATAGGTATCTGCGTTCCATATCCCATGTTAGGTGGCATACAAGGGTGAGTGAAACTGAGATTGGGCGTCAAGTGTAAGGTAAGGCGAGAAAGTCGTTCGATGAGACTGTGAAGCTACATAGGTTGAGAGGGCCAGGATATGTGTTACGCAGATCTTATTCGCTTTTACGGTTACTATACTCTCTGCCTCACATTTCTCTTTACTATCGTACTTTCAAATCCATTTCTTCCTTCTTTTGTCATGTGTTTTATGTGCTACATGGTTTGTGGTAACTCAAATTGCTGCTCTTCTGTGCAAAGTCCTATTCTGAAACTAGCCAGTTAGCCAGACTGTTGAAAATAGCTTCCAACTAACTTCACTGGCCACTAATGCTACATTTCAGCATGAAAAATAACTTTGTCTCGATTGAAATCAGAACGAAGTATTATTCCAGTTTAAGTTTAAGGATCTAAAGCAAGGTGTACTTGACAAACCATAAGGCTACCCAGATTTCATCAGTAAAGTCAAGTTTGAACATCAATTAGGCCGAAACTATTCTGAATGAAACAGTGTGCGTCAGTGGCACAGTGGTTAGGACTCTCGCTGACCACCATACACATGGTCCGGGGTTCGATCCTCTGCCGACGCACACCTGATATCTATGGTCGGCCTGCAAAATTTGGGCTACCGATATCACATGCTGAAAATTCCATACCTGTACCAAAAAATATGGTGTGGAATCAAGCTGTGATAAAAAATAAAATAAATAAACATCTTTTAGATGTTTGTAAAGCTGGAAAGATATTTGTTGCAAGCAAAGGCCCCTTTTTACTGGGTGTTAGCTCGAATGGAATTAAAAGAGTTTATTCATTAAAACTAACGAAAACGAATAATGTTAGTAATAGGAACAGCTTTATTCTGAAACAATGTAATGTATTGAAGTTTCAGCGGCCCTTATCGTATGGTATTTTCTTTTCGTTCATGATCTTCAAATAAAAGAATAATCGACAGTCAATCGTGTGACACAGTTCTGTCTGACCTGAAGCGCAAACCAATTCATTATGATGTCTGTTGTTTTTCTCCTTCGAGAAATACGCAACATTTGGCTGAATGACAATTATAAAAGGTTTAGGAGTACATTTTTTTTGCACCAAGGACACCATTCAAGAACTGTCATCTCGTGTATTAGGATAAGCTCTCATCGAGGATAATGCTTTTTCTCATGTTTAGTAGAAACCGGCATATCAGTAGGTCGTAAATGTTTACAACCTTTCCTATAGTAAACAATACTATTAGAGAGCATACTTTAATAGAGTACACAAACAGGACAGAAGAAACTATATGCAATATATTGATAGAGATTTTCGGTAGCCGATGCTTTAAGCAGGCCGCCATTTATTCAAATTACAGGATTTGTAGAGATTCGGGATTAAGTTCACTTGTTGGATTTTCGTCACGAACCAACATCAGTTAGAGGGATCGTTTAAAGTCAGGAAGTGTTGGACAGCTGTTTCGTCCTATTTTGGTACGAAGCCAAGCTCGTCTTTCAATTAGCCACTTGGGCTAGAATTTGATGACCTCTGAATTCGAACTTTTTCAGTTCGTCATATAGCACTGTCCTCACAAGCGCCTTCGACGAGCATCCAATTAACTTTGATATCATAGACTCCACTGATCATTGCTTGCTACTGCAGCTTCAGGGCATCCATACAGTAGCTATCAGTGTTGTGGACATCGATATTCAGATTATGGTAGAAATTATTAAAAATCAGGAAGCAATGGATGAAAGTTTTGTCTAAGTATCCAAATATCCGTCTCCATCTTACTGATAGCTACTGGATGGATGCCCTGCAGCTGCAGTATGAAACCGTGATCACTTGAATCCACCTTTTCAGGATGAAATGGAAGCTCATTTAAGACACTGATGACAGCAGTGCTATATGACGAATTGACACATTACGAATTCAGGGGGCCTTAAATTCCAGCTGAAGTGGTTGAATTATCGACGAGCTAAGTCTCTTAACCTAACGATTACGGTGCCGTGGTTGTGCACCGTTAAAGACTCCCAAAATAGGATGAAACAGCTGTTTAGTGCTCCCTGATTTTCAGTGATCTCTCTAACTGACGCTGATTCGTGACGAAGGACCAACAAATGAAAAATGAATTCATTCACACAACTCTCCGTGAATGGTTATGTAGCTAATTGTTGAAGCTCACAGCTACAGAGGTCATACATCTAAACTCAAAGCATATTAAGCCTAGTATGACAATGAAAGAGAACACAGCTACATCAAAAACAGAATTATTCCGAATAATTCTGTTGCAGAAGCTGCGGCTTACACAGAGAAAAACTCAGAGAAATTTTGTTTTAATTTCTTCTTAAACACTCTGTGATCATTTTAAATAATTTATAATGCTTAATTTTCTGATATCTACTAATGATTACAAAAAGTTACTCAAGAAAACATTGTTAGAATAATGATATAGTTGCTGATTTGAAAACCTCTAGTGTCTGCTGCTGTGGTGTAACTAATAATGAACGAATGTGATTCAACAGAATACATTCCTAAGTGGCAGTTAAAATCGTCTGACACACTGGAAACAGACGCCCAACGTCAACTATTGCATATTATATAACAAAGTCAGGTAATAGAGTTGATTTGAATAGTACCTTTAAATCCACATATGAAACATGCACATATACCTAAAATTTTGATGCCCTAGACATAAAATGATATAAATTTGACTCATTTCTTTGGAAATTACTTGTTATTACACTGAACCTGTCTTGGAAAACTGCTTTTCAAATCAAGGTTTATTTACATAATAATATTTCACTTCTTTGCCCCCAACTTCTTGTCGATAATTTTAATCCCTTTCACTAATCTTTCTAAATAGACCGGCTGAATTTCGACCCATCACGCTAAAGATAAATCTAATTCGCAATTTGCTCAGTTCAAGGTGAAATTTTACTAAAGTGTCCCTTCAAAGTCAGAATTCTTCAGATCATAATACGTCATCTTGATACCATTAACCATATTTAAAGAACCAAGCATACTTGTATAGAACTACATACTACTGATTGATGGAGATGAGTAGTTGTATACCACACATATCATCCAGAAGTTCTGGCCAACCAGATCGCAGGATCTAATCACCAATTGGTAGCTATCCAGAAAATAGGTGACTTGCACTAATTCGGCTATTTGATGAACTCCACCTTAGACCAGAGGAAAGGTCTGGTATCTGGTGTTTAGATCACTGCTAGTTGATCTGAGTGGTATACAACTACTTATCTCAATCAATCAGTAGTATCTAGCGTCACCATATTATACTTTGTTAACTTTTACATGAACATGTCTGACAAGTTTGTGGCCAGAATGTCCTAAATTTACCGTGCAAATACATTGCACTTGTTGTAGGAAATCTGTCTTCTTATTATATTTACGAGTTTGACCACGGATTGATGACAGTTAGAGAAACATTGAAAACCACCAGGGAGTACTAGACAGCCCTTTCATCCTAATTTAGGAATCATCAGCAGTACGCACCCACTGGGGTTCGAAACCAGGACGTTCCGGTTACAAGGCATGCTCGTATACCATTCAGCCACTGGGACCTGATTCAATGACTCATGAATTCTAACTTATACCAAGTCATGATTTAGCGTGACCACCAACCAGTGTCATCGGTTGGACATCCATCCTCACAGTTGACTGGATGGACCTCACTAGTCACGACTTCCCACTCGAACTTAAGGAAACTCCATCCTGTAACAAGTCAGTACCGAGCATCAGATTAATTTTCAAGAGTTGGTTTGTAAGAATTAAATTTAAGGGAATTAATCACTACACTAAGGTTTAGTTTTCGATAGATGGAAACATTCCAAGCAGAGTTCATCAGATTAGAAGTATATGAAAAGGCTAAATCTTCCATTTATCATCTGTCGAAAATGTCAGAAAAGATTTTACAGTCATTTGGTGTAAGTGTCGATGTATGCTACCTCATTAGATTAAAAGTGAAAAGTTATCTTGATTAATTTAACATATTTTTACACGTCTTCATCTGTTCGACTTAAAATTTTAATATTGACATTGTAAACTGATTCCTTTATTGCAAAATTTACACTCTACATCAGTGTAAATGTTTCAACGTTTCATTCTATTTTATTATGTTTACAATAAGCAAATATTGTTTAAATCCATTCCAACTTGTTATTTATATAAAATGTTCATAAAAGGGGGTGGCTTTTTTAAAAATAGTATTTGGAATTATTTCCGAAGACATAAATCATGAAAGCACTTTTCATCGGTGTAATTTGTATTTTAAGTGTCCTTATATCACATGGTAAGTTATACGATTCATAAAGATTTTCAAATGTTCTTACAATTTAACTGCCCTTGTGAGAAATGTATTCATAATTTCTAAATGAGATAAGATTTAGAAGTAAGCCGAAGAGTTTAGCCATTGAGACTTTCCGGTTTTTAAAATACACAGGAAGTGAATAATACACTTTGCAACATAAAAATAATAGATGAAATCAGCAGAAGCAAGAATGTTCCATTAACCCACATGTAGAAGTCGAGCACTTAGGTAAAACATAATTCTAGATCAGAAAGAATTATTTCATATAATACACGGAGAGGGAGAATCGATAACAGAGTAAGGTTTTGAGCACAAAATGTATTCCTGAAAATATTATCAATGTAATCACACGGATTCACAATTTCACTCATGTAATTTTTTTCTCTGACTCCTCGTTGTTTATTGCAATTCTCCACATCTAAAGAATTAATTCAGAAATGTATGAAGATCCATCAGGAAAATAAGTGTAGTGATGTAAATAATGAAAATAATGCAAATAGTGAGGAATTCAGAGCCTCGATAGTACTGTCACATCAAGAAGTGACATCAGAAGTCTTACGTGGGATTCGTGATGATTCTGGAATCAGGGTGGCAATTAAACCAACCAACCAACCAATTTACACCAAGACAGATCTTGTCGGCTTAATGATCCGATAGATCCAATTAAGGAAAATAATATAATTCACCAAATACAATGAAATGACTGTGAGGTCAATTACATAGATGAGTCAAACTAGTAGGTCAGGGTCAATTCGATTATCGGCACAGAGGAATGTAGCTAGAGATGGAATGACTGAATCTGATGAGTTGAATAACCTGGAGAGATGCACGGTCATTGCAATGCATTCACTTGCATATAATCGCACAGTAGAGTGTGACGGGGTGAAAGCATTAAGGAGTAGTGTAGTTGGGTGGCGAGAGTGGTTCACCATTGAATCTTTGTTCATTGAGTCAACACCAAACACGTGTTACAGGATTTCATCATGAGCTGACATTAGTTAGTGGCACTGGAAAATGGAGTACTGGACAGTGTTTCGTCCTAGTTTGACTCTTCACAGTAGACCACGGGATTCATGAGTCAACTCAAACACGTGTAGCTGAAATCGAGTCACGCCCATACTGGAGATGTGGAGAATTGCAATAAACAACGAGGGGCAGAGAGAAAAATTGCATGAGTGAAATTGTGAATCCGTGTGAATACACTAAAATGATAATCAGCAATAATCTATCACTGTGTTCGCGAAAATCAAATCAATATGCTTGAATATAGGACTTTTTGAATTCTGTGCCTACTGAATTGGTTAAGGAAGAGAGTATTGTTTATCCACTAAGTGGACTTTTTATATCGTCTACTGTGAAACTTTGATGTCTGTCAATATTTAATGAATTGAAGTCGAATATCTTTTTGAGAATCTGCTGGAAGTAGCGAAAAGTAGCAGGTTTTTTCTGTTTTCCTGATTGCTCTTTTTTTCATTATTTGTAAAAGTGTGGGGACCACAGGTTTTGTACACTCCTACACTGATCATAGTTTTAAATGAAGTAGGTCTATTAACCATCCATACTTCCCGGGAATCACTTTTTGAGACTTTTCATTTGTTTTCTGCAAAATATTCTAATTTTGACCCTTTTATAATGATTATGCTATTTAATTTTATGCAGGATACAGCACACCAAGTGAAAAGTGAGTTTATTTTGAAATATTTAACATAATAGAGCAATACTTAATGTAGTGACTTGATGACCATTTTCATCAATAGTATAATTAAATTAAATAATTTTAAAAAATCTGGAGGTTATTAATCTGTTAACTGGTTCAAATCCAAAAGATATTGCTGAAAAAGTGTCGATACCAAGTTTTACATTTATGAAGGAGCTTTCTCAACTGTTTCAAAGAGAAATCATGACTATAGAGGTGCCTAAAGCAAACTACCTTTGTGATATTGAACTTCTGGCTTCGAGAAAAAAGAACAAGAAGCTCAAGCTGGAAACTATTAGCACCTTTAATCCCTTTGCTTATCATGTAGAATTAAGTTAATAATTGTATCTGTCTAAACTTATTTATCTAAATGATACTGTGCAGCTGCTGTTGAGTATGAAATCGCCGTAAAGATATCTGCTTCCTGAGCTACTTATTCTTTCATCTCTAGGCCAGAATATAAATATCTCGAATGTAAATCATCAACAGCACGAAGCAAATTATCCGATTCAACCTTCCGTTTGTACAGGATACATAGAATGAAACAGATTTTTAAGAAATACATGTGACTATCTAAACTTAACACAGGTGGCATAGACGCATACCGTAAATATTCACACTGCCATAGATGCTGTGAATAATTGATATTTTTTTATTCCTTTATGTTCCCAGTGGAACATAGGGCTTGAATCTACAGGCTTGAAGTTTCTGTAGCAGTGGTGATTATTTTTACAGGATGGGGTAGCTTGCCTCATGCCCAACCTTCCTCCTTTACCAGTGTTACTATTGGCTTAGCAAGATAAAGGAGTGTGTCGGGCAGGGATCGAACCCTGGACCACCTGCGTAGTAGAGGAGCATTCTACTGATGTGCCACCGACGCACAAATAATTAATATTATTATTATTGTATCCTTTAATTCCTAAAGGAACATAGGGCTTCAGCCGTGCGTCTCCATTGCGTTCTGTTCTCTGCTAGAGTCTTCACCTGGCTCCAAGTTTGCCCACACGTTTTCATCTCCTCCTCACATGACCTCCTCCAAGTCACCCTTGCATTGACGACCAACTCGCCGCTTCCCTTTCGGGTTCCACTCGAGCAATGGCCTGTCTAGTGATGTCACTTGATGGATTGTTTCCTCAGAGTATGGCCAGCCAATCCATCTCCATTTCCTCCTGCCTATTTGTTTCACAATCGGTTCCTGGTTGGTTCGTTCCCAAAGATCCCTGTTGCTGATCTTTTCTGGCAGGCCATCTGATCTTGAGTATTGAGCGAAGACAACTGTTAATGAATGTGTGTAGTTTGTTTGAGATACTCTTTATGACGCGCTGTGCAATTCTCTGATCCGTATAGTAGCACTGACTGACTTCACATTGGAGTTGAAAATCCGGATCATATTTTTGATGCTGAGTGTTGTTGACCTCCACACAGACTTGAGAGTAATGAAAGCTTGTCTTGTTTTCCCGATTCTTGCTTTGATATCCTCGTCAGTTCCGTTGGCCTGTAGTTGAAACGATGCATCCAGGTAGGTAGGTAAAAGAGGTTGTTTCTTTCAGGTTCCTTCCATTTATGCTGATTGTTGTCAGTTGTTGTTGTTGCTGTTGATGGTGTTGCCCAGGAATCTTCATCACCTCTGTTTTGTCTATGTTCACCTGAAGTCCTATCTTTGATGCTTCTTCTGCCAATTTGTTGCTTTTCGCTTGCATATCTTCCAGTTTGTGGGAAATCAGACATATATCATCGGCGAAGTCCAGATCCTCCAAGCTTTTTGTGTGAGTCCATTTTATGCCTGTTTCCTCATTGCCCACTGTTTGTCGCATTATCCAGTCTACTGCAATCAGGAAAATCATTGGCGATAGTAGGCAGCCAGCTTGTCTTACTCCTGTCCTCACTTCGAAGGATTCCGTAAGTTTCCCGTTGTGGATTACTTGGCATGCAGCATTGTCGTATAGCTGTTGGATGAGATGTATAATTGTCGGTGGCACCCGGTAGTAGCGTAGTAGTTTCCAAATCACCTCTCGATCGACGCTGTCAAAGGCCTTTTCAAAGTCAATGAAGTTGAGATAGAGAGGTGACTGCCATTCCAAGCTCTGTTCAATGATGATCCGTAATGTGGCGATCTGATCAATGCATGACCTGTTTCTCCTGAATCCAGCCTGTTCCGGTCGAAGTTTTTCATCCAGGTTGGCATGTTTGATTCTCTCCAGGATGATGCGGCTTAGTATTTTGCTTGGGATGGACAGGAGCATAATTCCGCGCCAGTTCTTGCATTGACTTAGGTCTCCTTTCTTTGGTAGTTTGAATAAGTATCCTTTCTTCCAATCCTCGGGTACTTTGCCTTCTTTCCACACCTTCTCCAGTAGTGGCGTCATCAAGTCCGCTGTTGTCTCTGGGTCCATTTTCAATGCTTCTGCTGAGATTCCATCTGGTCCTGCTGCTTTTCCAGCTTTTAGCATCTTGATTGCCTTCAGGACTTCTGATTTCGTCAGGGGGTTGGTGTTCACTGGTAGCTCTGTCTCCGTTGTTGGTATTGTTGGGTGCGTTGTAGGTGGTGGTCGATTTAGGAGTCTTTTGAAGTGTTCAGCCCAGTGTTTCCTTTGCTCCACTTCTTTGGTGAGTGACTTTCCGTTGTCATCCTTCACCGGCTTGATTTGTGTCAAACATTTGCCCGATAGGTACCTAGTTGTTTGGTAGAGTGTTGCGAGGTCTCCTTTGCCTGCATCTTGTTCTGCTTCACTTGCCATGGTTTCATAATATTTTCTTTTGTCTTCTCTGGCACTCTTCTTTACTCTTTTGTTCAGTGTCTTGTAGTTTGCATTCAAATCCTGTTTTTGTTTACTCGTCGGTGCACTGGAGAATCTTTTGTTTCACCATCCTTCTCTCTTCTATTAGTCTCAAAGTGTCCGTAGTGAGCCACTGTTTGTCCTGTCTCTTCTTTCTGCCTAGAACTTCCATGCAGGTTTGACTCCATACTGTTTTCAAGTTGTTCCAGTGCTTTTCGACGCTGACCTCTTCGCCAGTGTTGATTTGTGTCTTGTGCTTTGTCCTTTATGCTTGTAGTGAAGATGTCCTTTGTTTCCTGGTCCTTCAGCTTTTGAGTGTTGAACTTGGCTTGTGGTCTATCTGCAGCTCCTGCTTCTCTGAAAGCTTTTAATTTGATTTGGATTGTCCCTTGTACGAGATAGTGGTCTGAGCTGACGTCTGCTCCTCTTCTTAATTTCGTGTCCAGCAGGCTGCGCCTCCACTTCCTTGAGCAGTATTGAGATGAAGTCGATTTGGTTTTTGGTTCGCCCATCTGGTGACACCCATGTAGCCTAGTGGATATCCTTGTGTTTGTATACGCTGCCACCAATCACTAGTTCATTGAAGGAGCAGAAGTAGGCGAAGAATTCTCCGTTTTCATTCATTTCTCCGAGAGCTTCTCTACCCATGATGAGTTCCCTTCCTGTGTTGTCTGATCCCAGTTTGGCGTTCATGTCTCCTATTAGTATTTTGATGTCACCAGCTGGAGTATTGTCTATTGTTGTCTGCAGTTGTCTGTAGAATTCTTCTTTCGTTTCGAGGTCTGCGTTGTTTGTGGGTGCATAGCATTTTACAATTGACACTTTCCTTCCTCTGTAGTTGAATCTGGCGGTTATTATCCTGAGCGAGATCGCCTCCCATTGCATCAGGGCCTTCGTTGCCGTTGGTGACATCATGATAGCCACGCCCTCGGTGTGCGAGTGGTTATTTTCTGGGTGACCGGAGTAGATCACTGACTCACCCGTTGACAATTTGGTGAGTCCACTCCCGTTCCATCTGCTTTCACATATTCCCAGTACTTGAATTCTGTATCTTTTCATTTCCTTTGCGATCTGGGCAGCTTCGCCAATCTCGTACATGGTGCGGACTAACCATATCCCCACACAGACATTTTCTTTTGTCTCAAGGAGATTCATCGTGTTGAAGTTTCTGTAGCAGGTTTGTTTACAGGGTGGGGTTGCTAGCCTCACGCCTGAGAAGGGGGATTGTTACATCAATTTATAATTTAGAGAGAAGCGACCTTGTGGGTTGCTCCCCTTAAAACCAAGAAAACAGGGAATAAACCAGCAGAAAAACACCAGCACGGGAAAATAATTCACAACAAGAAGGGTAACAAGCTTCAACAACAATAATAATATCACAGTCAATTGCAGTTAACCAAAATGATACCAAAATCATAGACTCACTGACTTGAGCCAACTTGAACATGTAAATCGGTAAATATATATACAATAATAATGTCACAGTCAATTACAGTTAACCAAAATGATACTAAAATCATAGACTCAATGACTTGAGCCAACTTGAACATATAAATCCATCAATATATATACAATTACAGGTATTAGTTAGTGTTAATCAAGCACAGAGTGGCAATAGATAGTTATAGGTGTTATTGATATACAATATTATATCCAAAGATCCAGTGTTTCAAAGTCAAATAACTGTAAAAGTTTTTCGCAACTTTTTGATAAGATATTCCACGAAAATCAGAGTTTTATGTAACTAAGCCAATGTAGCGCAGTTTTCAAGATTGATTCATAATGGAAGATAATGTTTCCGAATTTTAATTTATAGGTCCTGTTAACATGAATATTTATACACTCATATTAGCCTGTGGTTATCATGAGACTGCACTCTTTACAAGTACTAACGTCTGTGTAAGCAACAAATTTCGTTAAAATGTATCAAATTGAAAATTATTTTGGGAATATGATGTAAGGAAACTACTTATTAGCGCTTTTTATGTAAACACAAAATAAAGCGCTAATTTCCCCCATCCACCATTTCGAAATTTAGAAGAAAAAACACTTGTACGAAGGGATATCTACTTTCAAGCTAGATCCTCATATATGGCTATACTGTGATATATATCATCATATTTATCCCCTTGGAATATAGGGCTTCAATAGCATATCTTCATTCCACTTCCTTCCCTGCAGTCCTCATTAGTTGGTCCCACAACTGGCCATAGGTTTTCACTTCCTCCTCACGTGATCTCTTCCATATCACCTTCTCAACCGCAATCAGCTTGTCGACTCCCATTCAGGTTACACTCCAGCGATTGCTTGTTGCGAGATACCACCCAACAGCCTTCTCAACATGTGTCCGATCCATCTTTCTTTGAAATGGTTATTGGTTGGTTTCCTTCAGTATGGAGCTAACGACCGCAGATGCTGATAGAAGTCTTCAATCTGCTGGAAGTACTTTTAATGACGCATAAGCCAATATTTTGACCCACACAGAAGAACTAACTGACTTGACATTGGTGCTGAAGGCCCGAATTTCGTTATTTATGCAGATTACAGAAAATTTTCAAACTAATTCCAGAGTAATGAAGGCTTTCCTTGCCTTCCTGATCCAGCCTGATATCGAGATGCTCATTCACGCTGTTGCCTGTATTTGAAATGATGCTGCTCAGATAAGTAAAGGAGGTGATATCTTTCAGACTTGTTTCTTTGATAGTGGTGATTGGCGCTTGTTGTTGTGGTTGGTTGGTAGTCTTCATCACTTCCGTCTCCCTTATGTTCACTTGATTTCAAGTCTTCTCCGCCTATCTCTTCTGACAACTTTTTTGGCTTTGTCGTGTAGATATTAAATATTGTGTGATGTAAGATTTACCTATCAGCTGAGTCCATATCTTCTAGTGTCGTGTTTGGTATTGGTCGAATGTATTTCTGTCTTCTCACTCACCATTAATCTAATTTGCCACAATTAGCAATATCATCGATGATAGTGAGTAGTTTTGTTTCACTTCCGCCCTCACTTCAAATGATCTGTTGATGAGTTTTGCATTTTGCATCTCCTGACATGTGGAGTTGTGCTATATCTGTTGCTTGCAGTTGATAGAGATTTGGAGTACTCCATATTTCTGAAGCAGTTTCAGAATTACTTCATGGTCAACTCTGTCAAAAGCCACATATGGATTTAAATAAATTGCGGTATTTTTAGGTCGAAACCGACAGTGTAAAGTTTTTAAAAATTATTGTTTTTCTAAGAGATATGACTAACATTAATATTATTTGTGACATTCAAGGAGACCTGAAATTCATCCAAAATACGAACGGTAAGTTGTGTATTGTTCATTGTATTGATTACTGTTGTATTTCATCATTAAATGCACAATATTTAAGGAAAACTACACCCATTAAATCAAATGGAGTAGATTAAACTTAAGGGTTCTAAAAAAACACCTATTTTGTCAACCAACATAAACATTCGTTTAAAAATAAAGAGCATTAACATTCTGACTGAGTGGGATCTTTCTATAATCCTGCAAACAATCAGCAACTTATGTCGACCACATATGAGATATTTCTCAGCTTTTCTTGATGACGTCCAATAATATTTGAACTAAATTTTTAGTGAATCAGTTATTATGCAATATATATCACAAAAATTGACTACACTCTATCATGCTACTCAAATTTTGCTCTTACATTGACAATAGACAACTAGAAGACAGCAGTATTATTAGCATTTTATGAATACGCCTTTGTATATACTCCAATACACCTAACAATAATAAGAAATTTTAAGATGTGCACATGAAAATCGTTTTAGGAAAATAACTGAAATACATAATGAGTATTTACAGACATTTTACAGAATTCACATTTAGAATACGAACTACCCAATAGAGAAGTCCATACATAAAAAACTAGAACTTTTCCAGTCTGAGAGAGATTAATTCCCTGTCAGTTGGTTTTATTTATTCACACACTCATTTTGAAGTGCCCTTTATCAAATGAATCAATTACATGAAAGTAGCAAAATATTTTCATGATGTGAAAATTAAGTCCCCTGATGTTCAATTTCAAAATACGAAACAAATAGATCTCAGTGTACTGATGTCTAAATCAAGTTAAAATTTAATGGTCTGGAGCCATTAAAAATGATATTCATTAATAAAACTATTAAATCTGCCTAACCACACTGAAATAGGACGAAATAGGAGTCTTAAATTCCCCTGCTACTCAGAATCCACTAAACAGTGGTCAGCACCGGAATCGACAATTCGCCTCTTATCTCCTTTGGTAATATCAAGACATACGTTCACAAAGTTCATATGCAAAAATGAGTCTGGAAACCTCAGTCCAGAATGTCAACGAAATATCAGAAATATGTATGAATAGTCACTTCATTGATTAAAGAATCTGCTGAATAGAGGTCTGCAGAAGTTACATGCTTTTATTATCTGAGGTAAATGATTTGCAATAGATTTATTCATTGGATTACACTGCGTTTCTGATCTTTTCAAATTATCGTCAAAGTGGATTCATTTAGAGGAATAAATAATATTTTCAAATTTCTCTAACTTTTATATTTAAAGAACGTATCTTGACCTGCTGCTGCCGTGAGTCGAATAAATAATGTATATTATTATTCATCTTATGCCGTCATATAAATAATAACGAAGTACGTAACCTTCACGAATATAAAACAAAAATTGATCCAAATAGTTTCAACAATTCAGCTAACATCATCAGTCAACTTTGGATTTGAATCCAACCGTGTAGTATTAGAATCCCTCACATAATAAGTGGGGTGCATGCGATGACTGCTCAGGGTAATTAAATACAAAATACAAAAGGCTTTTTTTATTGTGATGAATACGACAATAGTCTAATCTGTACGTACACCTTGAACATTCAGTAGGAATTACATTATTATTCCCTTAGTGAACAACCATTGTGTCCGCTACAGTCTTACAGTTTATTTGTGAGCATAAGTGGCTGAATGGCAGCGTCCCCAATTGCAGCAGTGGGTGATGTGAGATCCTTTCTTAGAGGTGACATGATCCTTTCTTTGCAGATAGGTCTCGCTGTCGAATGCCAACAGGCACAAAGCCTAGCTCCAGAAATGCCTCTCTACAGACTACCTCTAGCCACACAACATTATAACCATTATATTAGTAATTTTGGAAAACCATAGAACATATAAAAAATATCTGATTTCGGCAACTTTATTCAGATAAATTCGAACAGAATGCAAACATTCAGATGCGTTACTAGAGAGATTAGTTGTAAATCTATTAAGAAAATTATTCATTGAATCCCTCCTGGATAACTGTTTAGTTAGGAATTTCTTGCTTGGTTTCATTATCAACCAAAAAACATGGAAAAGCATGGAATATCCTTTTAAAATCGTAGTAATTATCAGTCTCAATTTCGAGCATTCTAATGGGGCTGATGAGATTCTGGAGTGGTGGGGGCGGTAGACTAATGTACTTAAGCTCTGGGCCCAGGATCAAGCCATCTCAATTACAGAACAGATTTGCTGAGAATTCCATTCCGAATCGTCGGAAAGCGAAAGCCTTGGCGATGTCACTAACAACCATTCCATATCGACCACAGAGCTTAAGTATATTTATCCTGTTACTGCACTTCTCCACAGTCTTGTAAGCCCCACCGGAACGCTTAAAACTGAGTTTGATAAATTCACTAAGAAACCATGTTTCGGAAGTTTGTAAGGTATTTTCGTGCGGTCATAAGTGACACAACTAACAGCGACAATTAGTGGCTAATGCGTCTTCATGAACAGTTGTGTTGGGATGGCTGAGGAGGCTGTGGAACACTGCGTTCTATTACCCCTGAGTTAGGCTACAAGAAAGCCTTTGGAATGTTATGCAGCCAGTCTGGCTAGCCCAACTCAGTTTTTGAAGGCTTCCTTTGTGAATTACTGTTTGGCCCACGACTGCACCCAGAAGATCTAGGTGGGTTGCAAAGGTTGGTAAGCCAGATGACACACTTCAAGATACATTCGACCCGAATAAACCACAGTGTCGACTTGGACTTTTTTATCAACCTTAAATTTGTTGTTCAACATCTACCTTGGCACCTATAATGGTGATGTCCTCAACTAGAAAAAGATAGTTAAAAATCTGAAATGCCGAATATTTCTCGACTCTCAGAATTCCTAAAATGGCAGTTATCACTGTCCATAAGTTGTTAGGGGCAAATAGCTAGTGGAAAAGTAGAGGCTAATGAGTATTCCAGAGTTATACACCACAATGTGTTACCGTCATGATATCACGAATCCAGAATTCACCTACAATTTGTTCTGAAGATTACGACTTATGTGAGGGTCGACGTTTTTTGTCGATGGGTCACACAGATAGACTTATATTGTTGGTGAACCATAAACTGTGCTTAAGCTGCCTGAAGTCTGATCGCCGAGGTGATACTTACCGTTAGGCAGGGAACTGTGATATCCCCAGGAACTGTTATATAATGAAGATAACGCAGTAGAGTAGACTTTCAACAATGCTAGTTCATAATTAGAGACTTCCCTCCTAGCATATGTGCCGATTCGTATCTTCAGTCACAAACGTCTTCTCGGTACATATTCATTTTTTGAGAAAGGTTCAGACACTATGTTGTTGCGGAGTTATCTTGCTCACCGAATTGGTCTGGAGGGGATTAATAAATCGTTGCAGGTGACATCCATCTTTGGGACTACATCTCAGGATTCAGTTATAGTTGATTTGGAAGTCAAATCGCTAAAATTGGATTACAATTTGAATATCAAGACTGCCTACACTGTTGAAAAGCCGCCTGTTAAAAGAGGTACTATTCCATCAGACGAGCAGCTGAAACGATGGCCTCAGCCAGGAGAAGTCCTTTATAAAGATGTTGAAGGTAAATGGGTCAGTTTACTGATTGTAACCAACGTACCTTTAGCACACTGAGTGCTTGAGTAGAGTGTAGGAAAACCCAGTCAAACATACTCATCCTTATCAGTCTTTGATTAAGTTTTGTTGGCTCCCGGAAACCATTATAAGGAGGCCACATATTTCTTCAACTTAGTGCAAGGTGAAACAGTAGAAAATAAGTTGTTGGGAACGTCCGAAGCTGAATCCCGGGATAGCTAAACATGCCAAAGGTCAAGTTCTGCAGTAGATACAGGATTTTCAGAGGTAACTGGTAAGGGTGTTATGAAAGCAGAGGCCCTCTTACATACTCTTTAGGAGTGTCAAGATGCCTTAGAACCTAGTAAATGCCATGATCTCAATCGTTTATCAGGCTCAGGAGCACGACGTATCAGTTTCTGAAGGTTCCGATAAATATATTTCATTGGGATCTTCTGTCCGATTTACACCTCTAGAAAATGATGACTAGTCGTCATCTGCTTCAAGTGAAGTGCTAATTTCAAGTTTATCAGATGATGGTGTATGTGAAAGAAATAAAGTGTGAACGATAGACTCGTCTTTTAATCCTCTGGTCAAAGATCAACTACCTGCATTGTTCATTTCGACTTGATGAACAAAAATCACAATCTGTTGATTGTTGTGATGAAGTGCCTTCATTAAATGGAATTAGATCTGGGCCACCGCCTATTCAAATACCGAACAGACCAATGAACATAGTTACGAACAGTTTCTGTCATCACACTGTTCAGTCTGCTGAACATTGAAATGGTAATTTAGGTAGAACTTCAATGTTGACAGCAACCCATTCATTTGAAGAGCTGGCTCCAGTAGCTAAAGCTCAATTAATCTGTAATAATTTAAGTGTTTCTGGAGGTCTTAATGCATCTATTATTGTTGCACGGGTTCATCAGATTCAAGTCACTTCTGCAGCTTACCAACCACCCACCTCAGTTAATTCACAACCGCCATAGATGACTCAAAATAGTTGAATTCCCATGCATTTGGAGGTGGCAGAGTTCTCCAATAATTCCAACGTTATTGGTGAGTCTACTGACAGTTCGGTGTGTACTAATCAGATTGAACAGGGCATGAATCCTGAACACGGAATAAATGTAATCAAAATAAGATAAATTTGAGCAGACAATTGGTTTCGATGACCTCTTCTTCAGACTCTACGTTTATAAATCCATCAATAATCGAATATAAAGTAGGCAGTGAAGAATAAATGGGTTTGAATAAACAATGCTCAACAGAGAAGGGTTAATAAAAACAGAATATACAGCACACACTGGCTAGTTATAACTAAATAATTACTATATATCATTTGGAGAGTTAGTACATTAACTGATTCAGAAATTTCAGTTTCAAACAGCATTCGTAGTAAATGAAAACAAGCAGATAAAGTTAATATTACGTCATGATTACTATTATTCTCTCGGGTTTCGAGTCGAATATGGGACTTGAACAGCACATCATCTCAATGATTTAAATGAATCGTAATGCATTTCACCATAATTTTATTCTTTCGTACTCCTTCCACCTTACTGAACATGACTTAGAAAACTGTCACATCTGTCGTTTTGCATGATCAATTCAATGTGGTTTATTTGCTTGTCAGTTTTATATCTCACAATCTATTTCTAATAGTATATATATATCCCTCTATGTAGAGTATTCAATTCTACCAAAATTTGATAAATTCATTAAATCCTGGTTTATTAACTTCTGTTGCTTGTTTTAAATTCGTATTGGGAAATAAATGTTTTCAACCCATGATAATAGAGTAATAAAATATGACGTATACTACTTCTCAGTGATAAGTAGTATAAAGTTGAACACAAAAAAAACAGTAACAAGAGACGTATAGTAGGGGAATTATCACATTCCCCTCTTAAAAACGGATTAAATATTTGAGATTTGTCCAATAACTGTTATGCCTGAAATTTGAAAAGAAAATTTAACAGGAAACAGTGAAATGCTGTTTGTCTGGATCTAGTTTGTTTCCATTTTTTCAAACAGGCATGATTAAAACATATTTGCTTCGTCCTAGTTTGGTACTGTGAAGAGTCCCAAACTAGGACGAAACAGCTCTCCAGTAGTCCCAGGTCAGCTTATAATCATTCCTGTAACCAATCAAATCCCTGCAAACCAACACTGGACAAAAAAGGAGATTTATTAGTGCCTGTAAACAGTTTCGCTTTGAACTTATATTTCCACAATGTTCAATTCAGAAAGAAATACTGGCTTTATCATGTGACATACTGATTTGGTGGATATAATGTCATCTGTCATTTTAGTGACCACTGTTACGTGGATTTTTATCTTAATCTTATGAATGTATATGCTCGTCAAGTGTTTATCGTGGTTGAGTGAAATATGAATGTGCGTATTCACTATAATTCTTTCTCATTACTAACAGTGAATATTTGAGGTTAGTTATGATATATTTTCTTTTTTGTCTCACGATTATGTATCTGATTTCATTCATATAGATTTACATATTACACTAATCAACCGACAAAGCGATTTTTATTGTTGAAATTAAAACTGTTCCTTATAAGACGATACCTCGTTTACTAGCGCGACTTCAATGTTGTGTTGATAGGGAACTAAGCTAATATTCTGGAGTCATTTTACTTGAATCCTCCCGTAACACAGATTTTAACTCTAAATGCAATCGCCACTCATTTCACTAATGTCAGTCCGTCAGTCCAAGAGTATTTCAGCAAGTCTAATCGGAAAGGACATTAAAGTGATTTCTGTAAGTTTATGAGCATGTCTGGTGGCCCATGCTCCACTGATTCACCAAATTTATGTTCAGGCATCTATGACTTCTGAAAAACATATGCTGCAAATATATATATGGCTGTTAAGTAAGTTATCCTATCGCCACTTTGATAATTGGACCCTGCTCACTTGCTCAAAATTGAAGAATTCTACTTTTATTAACTCTGTGAGTATCAATTTATGATAACAGAGTGTTATTAATTTGTGGTTGTAGTCTAACTTGACTCGACTGCGTCGATAGACTCGACACTATAACAAACTGATGACTTGAAAACATTCCCCCAAACTGAGTTAGACACAAACGTTGGATTTATCTGTGACAACAGCAAAAACGGCTCTATTTTTCGACATTCCGGGTATGTATAGCTAACAGATTCCCGGAAATTTAGAACATAAATAAATAACGAATATCTGATTGGTTGTATGACCTTAGAAGTCCTCAAAAATCTAATCCAAAAATAAACCAATCAAAAACTATCCATTCAAGTTATCACATCAGCGCATGCATTGATCGTGACTTCACGTCTGACAGTGACAGGTTGTTCGGCCTACCACACTTATCCAAGTATTGGTTTGTAGGGATTTGGTTGGTTGTTTACAGGAAATCATCATGAGCTGACATTGGTCAGAGAACCATCGGAAAACCTGGTAGTACTGAACAGCTGTTTCGTCCTAGTTTGGGTGTGAGGACAAATACTCGCTGAAGACATTGGCTATCTGTTGCGCTATATCGTGAATTGGCAGGAGTAACAATTCACAGGCTGGCCATTGAATCGGGTCCCAGTGGCTTAATGGTCGACGAGCTCACCTTGTAACCAGAAGGTCCTGGGTTCGAATTTCGGTGGGTGCGTACTGTGAAGAGTCCCAAACTGGGACGAAATAGCTGTCCAGTACTCCCAGGCTTTCCAATGGTTCTCGAACCAATGTCAGCTTATGATGAAATCCTGTAACCTACCACACATATGCTACTATGTTTATTTGTGTTAACAAAAGTTATCAAACTGTGCCTTTTTACCCAACAAAATATTAATAAACATAAAATAACTTGAAAAAAGAACAAACAAGTCCAAGCAATAAATTTAACAAAATTTAATGGTATGGTTATTTACCAGTTTCTCACGTGTTTTCCTGATCCTGAGAATAACCCTATTAAAAAATTCAGGACGATGTACCTCACTTATAAATAAAGCTAATGACTGATATTCGTCTTGAAACATCTATAACCATAGGATACGTACAGTTGATCCATCTCTTCCGAAACAAAGAAAACGGTCACTACTCATTTATATGTGGTGAAATCTTAATCGGTAATGCTTAATCACTTAAAAATCTAATTGTTAATATATGTATGCTATTAAAACAGACTACGGAAATTTGATTTTACGAATATGATATTGATAGTCATCATCGTTTACTATTCCAATTTGAAAGCAGTCGAATCTCGACAGATCATTGCTTGAAAATTAACCTAATGCCTATTAGTGACTGACCCCTGGATAAAGCAGACTGCAGTTCCAGTCAGAAGTAGTAATCAGAAGGATCGATAATTGGTAGGAGTTGGAAATCATAGGCCACTGGATTCCATCTCAGCAGCAAGATCGATGGCTAACAGCATACCACGTTATCTGAAGGTCTTGAGTACGTAGCGCAGAAATGCCTTAATCTATGGCGAAACAGCTAACCATTACTCGTTGGTTTGTAGCAGTTCTCTGACTGGTATCAGTTTTTTATTTAACTTGTAACCAGAGGACAACGGTCAAATGTATTAGTAAGATTTACGCACAAGCAATAAATTTTCTGAGATCATCTAATGGTTAAAATGAATCATCTATTATTGCAATATACCATTATTTCTTTACTTTTCTTGATTGGGGATCACTAATTACCCAGTCAGCTAAAATACTTCACTTGTAAGGAGAGAAAGTCCAAATTTACATTATGGAATGATATAATTCTATCTCACACATTCTCATTAAATGGAGACAACTAACTGAAATTACAACACTTATAAAAGAACCCATGAAAGCAACATACTTCAGAGTTTGAATGGTAGTAGTAAAAATGTTCTAAAATCAACGCATCTGAAATGTGAGCATCACAACTTCTAGTTCAAGTTGCCATCAATTATATGCTTTCAAAGTGAGAAACAAAAAGTGGAAGATGAGAAGACAGAAAGCAGAAAAGTTTAATAAACAAACAGTGTTAGCTTATAAGTTTAAATAGTAATTCAGTCTTCTCAGTGAGATGAAATCACTAATATGGATGACTGACCACTGTAATCAAAATGCAGTTACCAAGGCACTGCGAGATTTATCACAGTTTATTTTTATGTGCATAAGTTTGCCTTGAATCTTTTTATATCAACCTCTTGAGCAAGTGGTAGTAGATTTACTGTCCTTGGTGTATTTAGTATTTTAAAGGATTTAGAAATCTCTATGAAATGACCCGTATTTACAAGGTGTCTAGTAATTGCATTTCACGAATATCCGCTTCCTTCTAGGCATACATTCTTAGGATATTCTTAGACAACCAGATAGAAGCTCTTCTTTCTGTCCTTGCAATGTACTTACTCTTGCAAATGCATGTAGATGCATAAAAGCAGCTGAGGGTGACATCAGCAGGGTAGTTTTATGCAGTGAATTCATCTCGGAGAAAAAAAATCCAATCTTATGAACTATAACCTTCTTGATTTGCTGTGTTTACTTATAAGCTAACACTGTTTGTTAATTAAACTTTTCTGTTTTCTGTCTTCCCCTCTCCCCCATTCGTTTCTCACTTTGAAAGCATATAATTGATGGCAACTTGAACTAGAAGTTGTGATGCTCACATTTCAGATGCGTTGATTTTATAACAGTTTTACTACTATCATTCAAACACTGAAGTATGTTGCTTTCATTGGTTCTTTTATAAGTGTTGTAATTTCAGTTAGTTGTCTTCATTTAATGAGAACGTGTGAGATAGAACTATATCATTCTGTACTACAAATTGGGTCTTTACCAAGTGAACCAAACGTATGGAAAAGTTAATTGGCCTAATAAAGTACGCGAAATTTCATTACATCTCTGATTACTGCGTCTCAAAGAAATACTTAATCACAGTATTTTCAGAGTGATATGCCTTTACTTTTGAAAGTAATAAAAATTAGAATCTCACAATATTTACATTAATTTAGAGAAAATAATTTGACCTTCCCTAAAGGGTGAGTTTCTTGGTTCTTCTTCGGGTAAATAAAGCTACAACATTTTTCTGTTCTCAAATGTCACTTCCTTATTTTTTTTTGTTATTATAAATATCAGTAGTATTGTATCACTTTGACTGACAGTTGAAATGTTACAACACAAAATTACAAATTCAAAGAGAAATAAAATAAAAACAAATGGAAATAAACAAAATATCTAATGAAAACAAAAGGGTTAATATTTATCTTATTAGGAATAAAAATAGTTCGCAAAATAGTTCACACCAACAACATTAACTTCATACTTTGATCGGATACTAGATGGTAACTGGTGTCATGCATCTAGTCCTTTGTTTAGTGAAGGTTGAATTCCATCAGTCAAGTTTGCAATGTGGCCATCCTGCTGGATGGTTAGACATCACGGTTAACTTTGAGTTGTTGTTGTTGTTGTTAGACGATTGGAGGTAATCTCTAGGAAGCACCGTGATGATGAGCCATCTAGCATAGTGGCCACATTGCAAACTTGACTGATGGAATTCAGTCTGCATCAGATCAAGGACTAAACTGGTGACTAATTACTGTTCGGACAAAAGTATCCAATACAGTCCTATAGGAGGTCAATCGCCAGCCTGAATTGCTCAGTGGTAAAATCTCTAAATGCTGCACTGAGTAACATCAGTTCAAATCTCCTTCATGATTGCGGATACGCCTTGCTGGTGAGAGCCAACTAGCACGAAACCTAGGTGCAGGGTTTTATGCCAATCACCTCCAACTACCTAACAACTAAGCTAACTTCAACTGATGTTAGTATATTGCACACTGCGTTTTTACCGGTTTTCTTTTGAAAAAGCACGAATACATTGACCTAATTCTCACTTACAATATATAGTGTACTGTACTTCTATTTAAACTGTTTTTTAGATTTCCTAAGGTTACTATTTTTGAGTAAGTACATTGGTTAGCACAAATTATACTAGTATTATTTAATGTGTGTAATGTGCTGAACAATAATTCAAAGGAAGGTGAAATCCATAAGAGTTTATTTTTTAGTGGAAATCGCCTTCAGTGCATTGGAGATCAAACAAAATAATGATGCAGTTTAAATTATACAGGCTGTTTTGATACTACACCACCTATCAGATTAAACAGTACAAAGTTAAGTGGTTGGCGAAATAAGACATTTGAAGTCTGTGTACTGAATACCATCGAAATCTCTTAAGTACATATTGTTCTTTGCTTTAAGAATGTAAATCTGTACCCTCCATCTGTAAATAACCGCTGTTATCATCATTATTTTATTGCTTCGCTTTCCTAGTAGAACGCATGGCTTCAAGCTTTTCAGCCTTAACGTTTTGGTAGTAGTTGTATTATTCTTTCTTTTTTATGCGTTGAGATGTCTTACCTCACGCCAACCTTCCCTCTTTATCGATATTACTACCAGCTAAACGAGGTTTAGGAGTGCTTTGACAGGGGAGCGACATCCACACCACGTCGGCGGCTGATGAGCATTCTACCGCTGAACCTTCATTAACCTTTCAAAATAATGTAATTTCCAGGAATAGAACGCAAATTTTTTCGTGATCGCTTTTACGACAATTACTGCAACAGTCGACCTATTTCGCCTTCTTGATATATAACTCTCTGAGATTTGTCAAAAATGCAAAGCGTTTGTTAAATCATTTTGTCCATTTCTATGATGAAGAATAATGCTTTACGCAGCAGGAAGTGGTGTGTGGTTTACTCTAAAATGATCTACTTTTTGATCAGAAGAGCCATTTGAAAGTTTGTACTGTAGAAATCAAGAGCATTTGGCAAAGCCATATTTGCCAGCAGACTTGTTAATTGGTAACTCAGTATACGGATATAGGCAAAAACGTCCAGCATATATTACAGTCACAATATGAACATATCTTCCATACTGTGTTTCTTTGTCTTCCTTTTATATTTCACAGACATGTTTCTTTTCTACTCTACGCCGTTAAATCTATTTCTCCGCTATTTGATATTCCTTCAGACGATATACATATTTTTGTGTCTATATACTACTTGTATATCTTGTCAGTAGCGCACCCTTGATTTGTTGGTAAATGAACATCTGTCCGAAGGCACTAAGAAGATACATAACTCCTCATGAAAACCTTGTATTTAGTAACAAAAACTGGGTCATTTTCGAGATTATGATAACTGACAGAGATGCGAGCCAAAATTCGAAGCAATTGGATTTCTATTTGACATAGATATGGACAGTTACTCCATCATGCGTGTTTCACTGACTAAGGAAAATGCCTGAAATTTAGTCTAATTTAGTCTAATCTCTACATTTGTGACTAGCAACGATGTTCAACAATATTCAGATGTGTACTCACTACAGGAAATTCAAATTATATTAATGCTAAATGATGCATCCATCCAAGTTATATGCAATTAGAGATGAAAGACTTTCAGTTAAAGACTTTCTAATTTAGTCCTAGTTGGTAGATTATAATCCTGGATAAAATAATTTATACTGAATATTTGGTAGATGGAAAGAAGTAAAAATTATTCCTTATCAGTTGGACCTCAATGGTAGATGATAAATGAAGTGGCTAGTTGAATAGAAAGGCTTAATGCTGTAAATATCATGAGAAGTTTTACCCAGGTTAGATATCTCATCTCATATGAATTAAACATATCTGTCACAAACAGTAAGATATTTTCAAATCACTTTTGCATAAAGTAAACATGAGGAAACCGATAAGAAAAAGTGAGTCAAAATTTGTCGTTTTAAAAACCATGTAATCAGCAAAATGTGTATCTTGACACTTCGTGATGCATTTTTTGTGAATGAATGTGTAAAAACTGATATAGGAACAGCACAATGTGCATTGACACTCCAACAATAAGAAAAATTAAAGCCAAACTCGAACAAATCAGAAAGACTGGCTTTAGTGAATCGCCAGAAGCACGAAAAGAAAACATAAACATAATCATTGCAAAGGCTAATATGGCCATCTCAATAGTATTTGTGAACAAGTTGGACTATATGATGAAATTCAATGAACTCACGGAAGCCAGTCCAAAGCCTGTATATACATTAATAAATAAGATCAAAAAGTCTACAGTAAATCTAGTGCACTGAATGAAGCCATCAATAGGTGAATCCAAATAGTTTAACTGAATGCCTAAAACTAATGATGCCATAAGAATATAAGGTATGATAAAGATAAAAAAATTAGGTAATCCCATAAGAAGTATAACCAATTTCGAAAAAACACATAATTCGGAATTATCAAAAAAAGTATCACTAATATTGAGTCCCAATAGAAATTGTTTAAACTCAAAGTTGATGAATATATATATATATATTCGACGGCCTATTGACCCCGATCCCATGTCGTAATCCAGCCCGATTTCATGGAATAATGATGTTCCCACTGCTGACTGACAGACTATTCTGTCAGCTAAGCTCGTAAGCGTGGTTGATTCACTATGCAGACAGCACCGATGGTGCCAATTCACAAGGGAAACTACACCAAATCACCTATTGGTGTGTAAATCGTTTGAGGTTGCAGCAGTATGCAATCTTTTTCAATCGTACATTTCTCAGCTTGAGCAGTTCTTGTTTTCCGTAACAGGTTTCTGTGTATGTTGATGAAACAGTAATTTGTCTTGATATTCGCTTGCATTTCAGCAAAGCTGTTGAACACAATGCAAAAGAGTAGGTTGATAGCTTTTTATTCATTGCTCCACTATCTATCTTTCATGCTTGTTTCAGTCTGAATGCATTGCGTGTGAAGAATACATTTGACTGTTCTCTGCATGTCTGGAAACTGCTTCACACTGAAATCCACATCGACGTATACTCCAGTGAATCGTAGATCTTGTTGTTGATATCGTCCAAGAATATCAATATTGTCACAGGATGATGCACTATGAAATGTAATTGCTTATAGGATCATTCAAAGCTGCTGACTGTGATAACACCTCCTTAACGAACAGTGTACTATCTATGTGCACAAATGTACGAAACTGTAGACTTGTCCAGTTGAAATCCCATTTGAATGACTGAACATCACACTACAACTGAGTATTTGTGGTCAAAGATTTTCAGTATCTTCCTGTGAATGGAGCGTGATTGTAGCGATAACTGTTCGCCATGATGATCTTAATAAAGACTGTTATGTCATCTTATTTCGTAGGCATGTTTATTTCTCAAGAAGGCATCACTAGTTCAGTCGATTCACGGTTAGGAGAGCACTGTGTCGCTATCCATGTGAAAACCAGCTTGATTGCGTGACTGAAAAACCGAGCTATAACTCTAAATAGTAAATCCAATACGACTAAGTGGTGAAATGAAGCAATGAGATTAAGAATCGGTGATCAATAACCATTACAGACTATTTATTGAGAAGTACATGAAGCTCATACGGAAAGAGGAAAATGGTGTTGACAACATAAACGAAAATGAATTCAAAATATCTACAGATTTACAATATGAGAAATTAACATCTATAACCCTATGTAGAGTTCTTATTATATTATTATTATTGTATCCTTTAATTCCCAGAGGAACATAGGGCTTCAGCCGTGCGTCTCCATTGCGTTCTGTTCTCTGCTAGAGTCTTCACCTGGCTACAAGTCTGCCTACACCTTTTCATCTCCTCTTCACATGACCTCCTCCAAGTCACGCTTGCACTGACGACCAACTCGCCGGTTCCTTTTCGGGTTTCACTCGAGCAATGACTTGTCTAGTGATGTCACTTGATGGTTTGTTTTCTCAGAGTAAGGCCAGCCAATCCATCTCCAATTCTTCCTGGATATTTGTTTCACAATCGGTTCCTGCTGAGTTGATTCGCTCATTGCCAGAGATCCCTGTTGCTGATTTTTTCTGGCCGGTCATCTGATATTGAGTGGTATTGAGCGAAGACAACTGTTAATGAAGGTCTGTAGTTTGATTGAGATGCTCTTTATGACGCGCAGTGCAAGTCTCTGATCCGTAGAGTGAGTAGCACTGACTTCACATTGGAGTTGAAAATCCGGAT